GGGATGAAACGCAATCTCCTCTAAGTTCTGTTTTTTGCCCCGTAGTATTTTTTTATTGCTCTATCTAGCCTCGACTGTTTGTAGAAGTATCTTTCTCTATGGAACATAGTGTTCCCACCAGACTGTAGGGGATCAGCGTTGAGACACAATCTTAAGCCGCTTGCTAGGATTATATTGTTATATAGTAATCTGCGAAGGGTTGATCGACCTTGAATCAACTGCCGCCGCTAGAGCTCTCCTTGTGAGCCGCTAGAGATCTTGAGATCTGATCTTTGCGCTTGTGAGCCGCTAATACGGAAGCCTATCAAGGATAATGACCTCGAGCAGGGAGCGGCTGTCCTCCTTTCATCAAATAAAGACCGAAAATATTTGTCCTTTGTTTGCTTTCTGCTTCTTATCGTATTTTTACGTCTTCATATCAACATCATAGAGACAGAGTTCTCCGTGTGCACAGATGTTCCAGGCTCAGGGTTAGGCTCTGGCTTACACTCACACTCTAAGTAAGCATGTACTGTACTGTATCGTATCACACACGACTGCTCCGGCGGTGGCTGACAGACAGACAAACAGACAGCTGCCGACGACAAGTCATGATGGAAGAAAAGACAGAGGCAGCTCCTGTGGCACTCTCGTGTGACCGGCCGCGATGCATGCCAGCGCACTCTGCATTGCCTTCATCGCCTTCGCCTTCGCCATCCTCGTCGCTGCCGCTGCCGCTTTCGCCACGTTCTTCCTCTCTTCAACGAGCGGGCGAGCTTGTTGGAGAAGATATGCGAGAAGCCTCAGATGAAAAGGCATCCATAGACGCAAATACAACGACGCAAGGTGTTTTCCACAATGCCACAGCAACATGCTCCATATCCACATCAATGTCCCCATCCCTGTTTGCGTCAAATTCTGCTGTCGGCGCTCGTGATTTGGAGAAGCTACCGGTGTCTGAGATCCGCACCGAGCAATTGAGTCCTGCTGGATTCCACAGCACCGAGTTCCAAATCAGGTTTGGAGATCACCGGTAAGCTTTTCCCAGGTTCCCCTTCTTTCTGCTGCTGCGTGTCCTTTTCTTGACGCAACGACACCCAGCTCGGGCTCGGGCTCGGGCTAGCAAGTCATCACCTGCCCAAGGCGCTTCTTCCCTCATTTCAACTTTCCTTGCTTGGCACACAATATACCTCCACCTCAGGACATGGCCGTTTGCCCACTGTTTCGCTGACCGGTCGGTTCTTTCGCTCTAGCTACGAGTACGATCCTACGACCGAGACCACCACGTTCAAGATGCCCGGCAAGGTACACCAAGAAGGCGTCCGAGTCGCCACTGCCCTCATCTCTCAATCTCTCGAGGCCAAGAAGGAACAGCTCCGGGTTCAACCAAACGGCGTCGGCAAGGCATTTCTGGACGGAATCCGCCCAAGCGGCAGCATAAGTCTCAAGCTGATCAACGGCTGCTACAAGGTGCCCGACCAAAGCTTCGCCGACGGCAATTCGACTGTGCAGCCGAGCGTGATCGTCCTGGTGGCTTCTTCCACACAGACATGGGACGATGTCCAGGACGAGGCGGAGGACTACATCATTGGCACAACCGGCCTCGTTCGCGCCGTAATCACGGTCAAGCTTGCGGTAGTTGAGGGTTGCAACAAGCTACAGGCTAGAGGGGGTATGCGCATCGGGCTGATCCGTCCGATGTTTAGCAATGGTTTTTTCACGACATCCCTCGAATTCGACGAGGTAAGCATCAAACAAGACGCGCCCGCCCTTGCCCCAGATTTCACAGGCACACGTTCGCCAATCTCAATACAGAATTACCACGCCCCTTTTATTTTTCAAAGCGGTTTGCTGATCATATCCATTCGTTTCCCCTAGTTGATTCAGGGATCTGACAGCCTGCCTCGTGACCATAATGGCGATGGCAACACCATCGATGCACAAGCCATGACGCTCGACCTCGCCGACTTTGCCAATCCCGACAACCACGCCCACATATCTGCTTTGAATGAGAAGATTGAGATCCCCGTGTCCAAGTTCCAAGGCCTGATGCGCGAACTGGAGGCCATCTGCTGTCAGCAACGCGAGTTTGAGTTCCCTCCTCTCCCAGACGGCGTGATCCCGATGAAACAACGGCAGGCTGCTTAGGATGCAGCTGGAGAGAGCTCGTGCGCAGTCAATGTTGACAACGAACAGGGGAGCAGAGGCGGCAGAGCACGAAGATAACATGAGCAAATCGCACAGGCAGGCTGAAGCACGAGGATCGTGCCTATCACGGCAAGAAGCAACGCATCGCGGACGGCGATCCGGATGAGGCTGCTAGCGCTCGCCGCCGTTCGATCCGAAATGCTACCAATACCGCCCGTGCTTAGGTGTAAAGCGATCTGGTCTAGTGTCGTATACCGAAACTTGAAAAGCTTCCTTCCAATCAGACGGGACACCACTTCAAGCAGACGACTCAAACTCGCCTGCTGCCCCCTCGCATTGTCCAGGCAGTTTCCATGTTCTTGTTTGTCCACCCATGGCATATACCCGCGTTTGTTCAATATTCAATCGACCTGGTATATACACAGGCCAAGTAAGTTCGTCCCCCAATGTCCACCTAGCCTGTACCGAGCCAGCCGAGGAGAGACGAGCATCGACTACTGACCAGTGAAACACAGTTGTCAACTGCTGGCCTATACTGATTTCGATCGAAGCAAGGGCTAGGGGTAGGGGCACGGACGGAGGATAGTAAAAGGGAAGGATACTTAGGAGGTAGATAGAGTAAATAATAATCTGTAAGTTACTATTTATCGGCTGAGGAGCTAGAGGAGTCGTATAACGCTCAAGGCTATCTACTTATCTGCTCCTTGAAGCGGTTGCCTGTCGCGTTCCACGTCGCAACGGTCTGTCTTATTGGCCTTTTCTTGCTCCCTCCCGGCGCGCACGACAGCCTTCCCCTATCGTCTCGTCTTCGTCTGGTCTTCGTCTGGTCTTCATTGGCGTGATGTTTCTTATTCCAGCGCTGCCGCAGCGATGTTGCTGCTACATCCCTCCCCGCTGTTCTCGATGTCAGTGCCGTTTCGGTCTTCTCGTGGAGCGCGAGGCGCTTACTGGTATAAGAGTTTCAAGAATGACTCTATACTGTTCAGCACAACCTTGGCATGTAGAAACATGCCTTGCACTTTTAGTCTTGGGATCCTCCTGTAAGCTGATTCATCCGATCACTCACCTTTGGGCTTTCGATGCCAATGGAACAAGCTATCCTCCTAGAAGGCTCCTTGTATCTGGGAGGATTTGGCAATTATTGAACCAGGTATGCATCCACTGGTTAATAAAAGCCTGGATACTTTCGACGTTATAAGTATTAGTACGAATTGACGCATTATTGCTTAGTAGCTTCTTTATATCAAATTCTAGTCGACTACTAAAGAGAATATTTAACCCTCTGTAATCTTTTGATAATTCAAAAAGATTACTGATAAGAGTTAATCGTCCGAGCTTCTTTATTTTATCTAGATTATTAATGACGATGTATACCCCTGCTGTACAAGCTAAGAGGGTCTTGAGTATTATAATAGCGGTTTGGTTGCTACTCTTCAAATTCTCCAGAGGTTATTATCATTAGAAGTTGTGACAGGCTGTAGGCCGGGGGGTGAGAAGTCTGGCACAGGCCACCTGCAACGTACGTTCTACGAATGAAGGGAAGGGGAGTCAATGCGCGCGCACGCAACTATTTAAAGTGTGCCCACGCACTTCTCAACCTTTTTCTCTTCTCCTTTTCTTTCCTTTCCTTGGTTAGATTATAGCCTTCGCTAGACCCACAATAAGTGAATTGCTATTGCAGGGCCTTTCCACACAGATTTATATTTCTTAAAGAATATAAGGGCCGCCTTTTTATATCATATTAGTAAAGTAGCTATTTAGTCGACATGCTAGTTTGCCAGGACAAGTAGCCTTAACGACAAGTTGCTTGTATAGTCCCGCCATAGCACATATAACGTCTCGCATTAGAGTCTTTATAGGATAGGGAGAGGGTATACCTCTGGCGCATAGACGTAGAAGGGGAAGGTAAGATCTTTATATCTCGTCCGACATCGAGAGCTCACGCTCATCAGCGGTAACGTTGATTGACAATTTCCAACAATGTGGGGAGGAGGGGTTGGTCCGGCTCTTCGAGAGCTTTAGAAGCTCTCGCAACAATTATAATAGAACAACCACTCCTTACCCCGTAATCATTCAGGCTGAGGTATACTTACAGGAGTCCTCTTATTGGTCTCGACAGTAGTCTCGCGTTAGTCGTATTAACTTCTTCCAGAATACCTGCTTATCTTCGAGACACAATTTCGTTGTTTTTCCTTGCCGCACGCGAAACGAAGCGGGAAGGCTTCGACTACCTAATAAGTGACAGGAGACAGGCATAGGCATGGCGCTCCTAGATCGCCTATTCGACAATAAAGCTGCTCAATCTTATTGCATTCCCACGAGTGGGAGTATAAGCGGGATCAGGAGAGCACTGGGTACACTACGGCGGATGGAATCGACGACGCAGCCGCCACGTCCAAGTCCCATAGAGAAGTTGTTAGAACAAAACGCCACCGACGCGAACGATGAGGCTGCAGCCAAGAACTCAAGGGCGGGTATTGTCATACTCTGCTTTCATATCTCAAGAACCTGCTGGATTCGTGGAGAAGGGGCATAGAGTGTTTGGTATTGTAGACTGTAGAGTCAAGACTATTTTCCGATTTCAACGCTGCCGTCAGAGGAGTTTGTCTTCCGTAACAATGAAGAGCTTCATGGAGAAGGGGCCCTTAGCAACATAGGTAACGGGCATTCCGGCAGTCAATCCGACGATATCCCCCGCCTTGAAAGAATGTCGCTTCCCACTTTCCACCTCAACCACATCGGTATCTCCATGTACAAGATACATAGTTTCGTCACCAAGAACCCCTGTATAGGGCGTTGTCAATGTCCCTTTGCTATCAACCTTTGTCCCTGGGAAGCCTTTGCCAGACCGCCACACTCCGCTCAACATGGTTCCAGTCGATCCTCCGGACCTGACAAAGTAGAGTTCTCCAGCGACGAGTTCTCCATAATCCGGCTCAGTAAAGCGATGCTCAATCCAATCATCGGGCTCGTCGCTGATGTGATTCACTTTGAGATCGCTGGGAGGGTTTGATGCGGCTTCTGAGCCATTCCAAACACACCAGAACTTCTTAAAGAAGGGTCCATCGACGGCCCACCGTACTTCGAGTCCTTTTGGTGAGCTGACGATAGATCCCGGCTTGATCTTGTAGCTCGCACCCGAGCTCATGACAGTCAGAGTCGCTGTACCCTCCACGACATAGGCGGTCTCGTCACCGAGGGGAGCGGTGTAGACAAAAGTATGGGTACCATCTGGCTTGCTCCCCTGAGTAGTCGGCCCAGTCCTCCAAAATCCACAGGAGAGACTGCCTGAAGACCCAAATGCACGAGCGATGGCAACCTCTCCCGAGACCTGCTTTCCTAGCTTTGGCTCGTTCCACTCAAAGGGGACCCATTGATCGTCGGGGGCTAATGGACTACCATAGTGAATCACGTTGCTCTTTGCAGCGGCTTTCTCGTTTGAGGCCATAACTGAGTGAAATAGTGTTCAAATAATGTTTGCTTACCGAAGATTACTTCTATCATCAGGAGGGAGCCCACACCTCTTTTGTACTCTTATCGACACATCTTAGTGCTTTGTCGACCTATAAATGTAGTGGAGATTACGAAAGATTAAAACGTAATGAGCTGTAGTTTGTATGAGATAAATAGACCGTGGACATGCTCCAGATATGGTATTCATCGGTAATTGTAGTCTCAGCAGCCCCCGTGTCTCATTCAGCACCCCAGCATCTAGCATCGAGAACATCATGATAACGGCACGGAAGTGCTAACAACTTCAGTCCCACGGAGATATGTCGGCAAGTACCGATGCCTACGCTCAAAACTACGTATTTCTACGTACCTCAGTAATAGAATAACAGATCAACGTTCAGCCGATCAGCCTATCTGTATGCATAAAATACTTTCGTCAGTCAAAAAACCTCTGCATGGGACATATCGGTGTTACTAATTGTGGTGTACATTCAAAGGGGATCCACCTCTCTGATAAGCGCGCATCCCCTCCTCTAATTGAGACTGCTTAGCTTACCACGATACCTAATAGGCTACGTCCTAGCCCATGGCATGAGCGGTAGATTTTGTTGATGGCTCGAAACTTCTACGCCTGTGGAGCTGGGCAATCAGCGATAGATTTTAACCAACCATGTGGCTCTATGCATGTATACGCAATCTCATCGGAAGCGAGAAAGGACCCTACAGGAGCGATTTCAGCACTCCCTGAAAGACATGGTCGGAAGGCAAACCACACCAAAAAGGTGGCTGCCGCCCTTATCAGTTCCACTATTACCATCGGTCTAAGACGAATGAATAACAGCGTATATCAGACATCGAACACCGTGCTAGCCTGTCAAGGTATTCCACGAACAAAATTTCGACTTTACATACCCGAAGAAGTTCAGAGTACACCCACCTCTTCTTTCAACTCTGTTTATCTCAAGTCAGCAGATAAAATACCGAAGTGTGCTCGAATACCAAGTCCAAGTCCAAACATGTCTTTAGACGTCGTGTCCACAGAACCGAAAACGTCAATTGAAGGCGGGATCTCCAAGGATGATGAAGAGCTCGAGGGTCTTGTCAAGCACGTCAAGGCAGTGTTTGATAATTTTACCGAGACGACTACAGTGGAGGAAATGAGAGCTGGATGGGAGACCTTATTCCACGGCACGGTGCCCGTGGTCAACGCAACTCAGGAGAAGGTTAAAACGCCTCTTTTCCAGGCCGAGTGGATTACAGCCCCCGAAGCTGAACAAGATCGTGTCATTGTCTACCTCCATGGCGGGGGTTATGTCATCGGTTCCGTTGAGTCTTATCGAGATTACTCCGAACGACTCTCACGCGCCGCGAAGGCGCGCGTTCTTTTCGTGGAGTATCGATTGGCACCAGAAAACCCATTCCCGGCTGCAGTAGACGATGCCGTCCACGCATACCGCTGGGTCCTCGCCCAGGGGATCAAGCCGGATCGTGTCGCAATAGCTGGAGATTCCGCAGGCGCCGCCCTTGCCATGTCGGTGATGTTCACTGCTAAGGACGCAGGGGATCCGCTCCCTGCTTGTGCGGTGCCAATCTCTCCTTGGGTAGACCTCGAGCACACGGCCAAGACGTTTGAGACATTGGACTGCGTGGAGGCGATGTGCCATAAGTCTGTACTCAACGGATGTGCGCAGCTTTACCTTGGAGACGACCGGCGCAATCCTCTAGCGTCTTCCATTCATGGGGACTTCACCGATTTACCACCGATCTTTGTTACGGTCGGGAGTCACGAAACACTGCTTGACGACGCTCTCCAACTTGTCGACAAGGCAAAGGCTGCTGGTGTCATCACAGAACTGCAAATTTACGATCGCCAAATTCACGTCTTCCAGATCTTTGCAAGCAGAATGGCTGCAGCGGAGCGGGCCATACACGACATTGGTCGATTCATCATAACGTATACATCATACTGACTGTTGTATCGATGAACAGAGCGCATGACGCGTACATGATGCGAATTCATTGTTAGTAGCCTCATTATACATGGAGAATACACAAATTGATTGGTATCACATCTGAAACTTGACTGGTTCCATTCAGTGTGCAGGCTGCCCCGTCAGCATCACCATATATTCAATGGGTACAGCACCTAGTGCAAGGGTAAGTATGTAGTTCAGCATAAAAAACCCTGTGTTTCTACCTCCACCCAGTGCAAATGTGGGTGGATCTGTATGATCCCATAATTACTTGTACTCCGCAATTTGAACCTCTCCTCTGGAGACAAATGCCTATCAACGGCATTCTTCGGAATCGGAATCACATATGCATTAAGTCGGCCTAGGGTCTCGATACTAAGACAAGGCTAATCAGTGGACCGCTAGTTTTCATGAAAGCTGCAAATGACCGGAGAATTGCAGCAGAGATAAGCGCGCGTTGCTACCCGAAGCCATGTCCCCCACTAGTCTAGATTAGAGAGGCTAGGGTTATCAGGGAGCTCTCAGCGAGGGCCTGTGTCGATATCATTAGATCCTCATGCTCAGAGGTATCAGATGCATGGATTTACTGGTAATTCGACAAGACTAACTACGTTTAGCCATGTCTGTATCAGCGAAGGAAGCCGTGTTGTATGTTAATGTTGCGGACGGACTTCGGCAAGTGAGTGATAAGCGCGCCTCGATCTAATTTGGTTGTGTTGTTCGAGATGGGAGGATATGTCGATCTGCCTATGAACTAAGATACTGCGAAAAATGTGCTTTAAATATATAAAGTAAAATTCTCAGTTCATGTCGCTATGGTAGCAAGCGTAACACAAAGCTGAAGTCTTTCGTACCGAGCTTCTCGCATTGCCATTCGCCGGTTTCAAAGAGGGAATCTCAACAACAGATCCCATCTTTTTAAAGTGGTCGCCCTCTTTCCATCATTCATATCCTTCAGAATGTCCCGTCTCCAAATTGAAGCCCCCTTTGGACAAGGAGTAGGCTATGGGATCATTCTCGGTGTAGGAGCCATTTTTGCTCTTGGGATGAGCATTATCTCTTGGGGATTGAGCAAATTCTTTGCTGAAAGGCAAACGTCGGAGATGTTTATGACGGGCAAGAGATCCGTACGTGGAATTTATCTTTGATAAGCACTAGACTTGGTTTGTCCGAATTGAAACTAATGTAAAGGCTCTGGTAGGTGAAGACAGGTTTGACGGCATCTGCAGTAGTGTCCTCTTGGACCATTGCTGCCACACTTCTTACCTCGAGTACAGCCGGCTATTTACAAGGTATATCTGGACCATTTTGGGTGAGTTCATCTCTTGCCGAAGACTGTGTATCATGGCTAACTACCGTTTAGTATGGCGCTGGAGCATGCGTGCAGATCCTATTGTATTCTGTGGGTGCAATCGAAATCAAAAGGAAAGCACCCAACTGCCATACCTTGTTGGAGTTCACCAGAATACGATACGGCCCGATGGGCCACCTGACTCTTGCCTTCTATTCGCTGTTCTTCCTATGTGTCAATACCATCAACTTGCTTGTGGGAGGCTCCGCCGTCTTCTCGGCTTTGACCGGCATGAACAGAGATGCGGCTTGCTTTCTCTTCCCAGTTGGTGTTGTAATCTATTCACTTGCGGTATGATAAACACCTCAATGAGAACCTATTATCTAGACTGATCCTCGCATTAGGGCGGAATCAAAGCCACATTCTTGACTGATTGGGTGAGTCATGAAATCAGCTGTCGTTTGTGCATTGGACTGATTTGCCTTTTTCTTTAGGTCCACACCGTAGTGATCTACATCATCATGCTCATGTCACTTTTTGTTGTATTTGCTACATCAAATGTTGTGGGTTCTTCAGACAAAATGTTTGACCTCCTCCAAACTGCACAGACGTTACATCCCGTGGCAGGAAATGCAGAAGGGTCTTACCTTACAATGAAAAGTATAGAGGGAGGATTCTTTGGCCTGGTTATCCTGGGAGCGGGCTTTGCTGGCTCCGTCGATCCTCAATTGTCCCAAAAGGCTATTGCTGCTAATCCTGGATCTACGTTGATGGGGTATCTAATTGGTGGCTCGGCATGGTTCACGATCCCTTTCTGTCTTGCATCGACGTACGGCCTTCTTGCAGCGGCGGTGGAGCATCTCCCGGTTTTCCCTACATACCCGAATCCAATGAACACCTACGAAGTATCGGCTGGTATGGCCATGCCCTACGCAGCTATGGCAGTTATGGGGAATGGCGGTGCTATGGCAGTACTACTGATGGTATTTATGGCCGTGACTTCGGCCTTTTCTTCAGAGACGATGGCAGTCACTGCTCTGATGACTTACGATTTCTACCAAGCCTACATCAACCCGGAAGCTACAGGGAAGCAACTTGTTCACTTTGGACATTGCGTAGTCCCATGCTTTGGATTGTTTGTGGCGTGCGTTGCCGTTGGACTCAATCATGCAGGGTTTAACGTCTCTTTCATGTACGTATCATCGATTTTAGTCCCTTACTATCTGAACGCACCTTTTGCTAATAGACTTGATACAGCATCACGGCAGTCGGGGTTTTTGTAGCTTCTGCCTTCATCCCTCAAGCTTGTACAATCTTCTGGGCGAAGCAGGGCCTTCTGGCCGTTGTGGGAGCGCCCATCATCTCGTCTGTGGCTGCCATTATTGCCTGGTTTCTAGTCACCAAGCATGAAAGTGGATCCATATCCTTGGCTACTCTTTCCGGGAATCTTCCCCTGGTCGCTGGAAACATGACATCGTTCGCCGGCCCAATCGTGTTGACGCCCCTATTGAGCTACCTTGCGCCGCAAAACTACGACTGGAGCTTGCTCAAGCAGATCAAACAAGCAGACGATGCCGACGAGGGCACCGGTGGCCTTCCGGAAGCGTCAGATCGACTAGCTGTACAAGCGGAAGAGACCATGACGACCCCATCAGATGCTCACAATGAAGCAGAGAACTCAATGCTTCTTCGCGCTCGCACCAAAGCAATCTGGGCATCTGTCTGCCTGACCATAGTCTACTGTGTTCTATGGCCCATTCCAATGTACGTCTACCCACGTTCGCGTGTTGCTGAAATTCGGCACCAAGGGTCCATCAAACTGACACCACGGCACAGGTATGGCACCAACTATGTATTCAGCAAAGGTTTTTACAAAGGTTGGGTTATCTTCCTGTTCCTCTGGGCTTTCTATGCAGCATCCACTATTACGCTGATGCCGCTGTGGGAAGGCCGTCGCAGCATCATGGCTTTCTTCAAATTCTTGTTCGAGTCCAAGAGCAAGAGGGCTGATGATACGAGGAATATTTTGGAGGGGCTTCACGCCAATGGAAATCAGCAAAGTGCAAGTGACGAGGGTCATGAGATCGCTGTAGTAGGTGAGAAGCCATCCGTGAGTGGGTGATACCCAAGATGAAGTGAGATTGTCGTACGAACGCTGAATATAGAGAGCAACCTACTTATCCTAGGAAATTTGTCAGAAGCCAAGTGTACGGGAAGGGCACAAGATGTATGGCAGAGAACGTAGAGCTTTCTGCATCAGTATTAGCAAAGATACTGGCGCTCAGCAAGGTAATAGCCAAATAGAAATCCACAGTTTCTAATCATGTTGATTTCGCTTGGCATGAACCAAATTCAGGAGTAACTGTAACTGATGCTATGGGTTGAGCCGAATACTGTATCGTGCATTTTTGCCATGTTTACGGCTGTAGAGACATATGCCCTGTGGTTGGTTCTTATGTGCACCATCACAACATATCCTCATCCCAGTGTAGCTTTTCTTTCCTTTCTTGAGGTGATCATACATGAGCAGCAATTCATTCGTAAAGGTCACCTCCGCTGGCTTTCCAGTCACTGCCATATAACACTTTTCGAGGGTCCTCCAGATCCAACCACCCTAAAAATGGGTGACTGAGTTGGTATCCTATCAGTTTTTGCAGACTTTCTGGGTATTCGCGAATTTTCTCGGGCGGGTTTGCTAGGTACTGGTTTTCCTCCTGTAAAGTTGATCAGTCAGCAGAGTTCTAAGTGCACTAAGGTGTTTTGAAACGAGGAGACTGACTTGTCGCAAGAACCCTTTTGTCATGAAGCAACTATAGACCAGCCTTTCCTCCTTTTCCGTTGTATTGGCCGAACCTCCGTGAAAGCAACTCGACAGCATGATGAAGGCGTCACCAGGGTTAAGTTCGGCGTAAAAAGCCAATTTCTCGTCTGGCGGTTCCAAGCAATCCCAGAGATGACTGCCCGGTATGAATCTCGTAGCTCCGTTTGCTTTTGTGGTTCTTTTGCCCGCGACAAAAAGGCCTATGCCAGTATCGCGACCAATACGATAGTTCTCGGGGATAATAGCAGTCAGGTGGTTATGATGAATCATGTCATCACGATGTAATGGCTGATCTTTAGCACCGGGGCCAATAGAGAACACCATGGTGTTGTTGAGTTGCGGGGTGGACTTGGAGATTTCGAGTTTCTGCCCAAGATAGGATGTGAATCGAGAGGTAAGAAGTACGTCACACACGGCTTGGTAAAGAGGATTGGCGACGATGTGATGCATGAAAGTGCTGGACTTGCCAGCTAACCCAGCGACACGTCGCGTTTCTGGCGGGAAGAACTCACCCTCCCAAGGCTTATCGGCTTCTAGGTGAGGACGGATATCATTTTCGATGAGCTTCAGGGAGGACTCGGAGAGCAAGCCTCGAATGATTACTCCACCAGTCGATATTAGTGATTGCACAACTTTGTCCCTGTTTGCAGGATCTGAGCTGAGCTGCTCAACCCTAGGCAACTTTTCGCGGACGCGGAAGGCCATGGTCAAGTCGAAGGTGATGTGTCAAAAGCGATTTGTTACGGGTAGACTACTTGAGGAGAGAGACTTGCATTGTGCACATACTGATTATATGTTATTTCTATTCCACCTTCCAGAAGCCGTTCCTCAAAGCATTGCGGCCAAATCCGGACTGCATCTTTTTTCCTAGTCTGGAAATATCTT